GGTTTCCACAAAAATATTAGGCAACTGTTTTCAACACTGATAATAATACGAAATGTCTAGTGAGCAGCAAATCAGCATATTAGATTAATTTCTGAAGGATCATGTGACACTGAAGACTGTAGTAATGACTGCTGAAATTTCAAGTTTGGTTGTCACAGGAATAAATTACATTTTAAAATACTCAAATAGAAAACAGTTATTTGAAGTTGTAATAATATTTCACAATATTACTGATGAATAAATAATTCACGTATCAGACAAACTTGCGTTGCAGCAAATCATTTAAATTTTAAGGTATTCAGAACAGAGCAACATAAAAATCAGAAAATATTTGCAGCTATACAATTATAGGACAAAGTTTTACATATATGCCACTGTAATTTGTGTTTTATTTTTTAATTGTACAGAATTATAAAATAAAACACTGATTATAATCGGGCCTGTTTCAGGCTCTTCCTTATTTTTGTATTTTAGACATCCATCAATTATGGTGATGAAAAAAATGACTCGCCATCTCCGAACGGAGCGAGGCCGGTGGAGTAACTGATAATGAGCGACACCTGCACCACTCACCGGTCTTGAGTCCCACGGAGGAGCTCTCGGCCCCGCCCCCACTCGTCACATATGTATCTAGGAATTCCTTTATCAGTCAGTTGTTTTGGAAAAACGGTAGAGTTTCATATCATGGTTTAGTGATTGTCATTTTTCTTCTTGCCCTCTGCTAGGTAAATCGTGAGTTGAAGAAATGCCTGAGGTTGAATGCAACTGCCTTAGTGATACATCACCGGCAAACTGGTTACATGGACTTAGTCACCGAATCACTTCTTAATGAGTACGACATCTTCAGATATTTACTGCTCAATTTATCTCAGCTGTCAATATCAATTTTGAATTATCTGGCCATCTCCTCATTGGATGTGCCTTTAGAGAGAAATGCACGGATTACATAATGAAAGACTTTCTATTTTCGATTTGAATTATTTCATTTTAAAGTAGTAATTTAAAGCTTTCTATATTTCTATAATATATTTTTATCATGTCTGTGAGGCAATTAGCTGAGTTTAGGTTCATCATTGTGAAGCGCTCCTGTTCAAGACCGAGATGGCAGAAAGCGTTTGTTTTCTTTATTTTATAAAAGCACTACGTTTTGTTGATATTTTGAGTGCACACAAATAAAAGTAGACCCTTTACAGTTTAGAATGATGTATTACTCTTACCTTTATGAGCAAAAATGACTGTGTATTTTAAGTTGTTTCCACTGTTAGAAAAAATGCAAGTGATCGCGCTGGCGCCTCCGTGTCCTGCAGAGCGCGCTTCAGCTTCCACTCTCTGCTCAAACTATTGGAAATGCGTCTAACAACGCACATTTATCTAGGTTAAACATTTAAACTAACATTCTGATATGCTTGAACTGTTATATATATATTTTATTTTAGGCAAGTTGTGATGATTTGAGAAGGCTAAATTGATCAAACAGGCTATGATCAATTCACTGTCTGCCACTGGCCGCTTGGTCGTTACTTAAAAAAAACAAAAAAAAAACAACAACTTACATTTAACGAACAAAAAATGCTCCACACGTTTTTCTAAATTAAATTCTAAACGAAATATAATCACTTTTACATTACATACAAAACTGAACTATTTTAATAGCTGAAACAGTAGTATAAGCTTTTTTTGGGAAAAGGGGAAAAA